CCCCTCCACCTCCAGCAGCTGGTCCCCGGGCTGCAGCCCGGCCGCGTGGGCGCTGCTGCCCTCCTCCACGGCGAGGATGTAGCAGGGGCCGCGGCCGCCGATCTGGAAGCCAAACGCCTCGGGCCAGTCCTCGTTGCTCGTCGGCATCGTCGCAACTGCAAGAGAAGGGGAGAAAAGGAGCTGTGCCGCGTTGGCCTTCATCAGCAACGCGGAGCCCTTTGGGGCTTCCTCTGGCCTTGCACCCGTGGAGAAGAAATGCTGCAAAGGGGGATCCTTGTGTTGTTGGTGAGGTTATTTTCTCCCTAAAAATGGCTTTTATTCTTCTGTGATTGGGCTGCCAGGGCAAGGAGCAGTGAGGAAACAAGTGGGACTTGATGAAATGTTAATGTTTAATGTGAAAAGCCAGCACATGAGCCCTGGTTTCACCTGCTGGTTGCGTGTACATAACCCACCTTGCCCATGGAAATGATGTCAGTCCCTTGCTGACAGTAAACTGTTCAGCAAAACAACTATTTCGTAATTCTGGCATGTCATATTAATCAAGAACTCAGCCAATAATTCGAGACAGCTTTATTTTAACTAACTCATCCCAATACTCAGCATCACTTGGACTCGATGACCTTGAAGCTCTTTTCCAGCCATAACGATTCTATGAGTCTGTGTTTTCTGTGGTTACAAGCTACAAAAACATTTCAATTAGAATTTGTCAGATCCGCTCAACCTTCCTGGGAATATTGCTTTTTGCTCACCCAGGAGCAAGCAGGATTAGCCTGTGCAATATTAGCCTGGTTTCCTGAAGGGAGCCTCCTCAAAAGGACCTGTCTGTGGTTATTTTGAAGTCAGAACCTGCCTCCATGGACTCAGCGGGAGAACCGTGTTTATGGAGAAATCGGGCACATCAGTCACCAACACATATAGAAGTTGTCCATGCCTAAGCTGAATTCAGACCTTTGGATTTTCAAGGTTAACTTGGAGAACAGAAAAGCAAGGGCTCTTTTCGAAATGTGTTGGACTCTCATGACGTGTAAGTACAGACATTTATTACGCACTGATATTTGCTAAATTAGTTTGCACGGTTTTTGCTTTATTTGATTTTGGCTGTTGATGAAGATGCTTTTTATTCCCACATTTATTTCAATTGTGTTACTTAGCAGACATTAAGCATTTACAAAAATGAAAACGTGTGTGTGTATATATATACATATATATATATATATATATATACTATTTTATCTGGTTAAGTTATTTTATAGGGATATCTGCACATCTCCTAGCTTATTTACCCCAGAGTAGCTGCTTTCTGCCTTCACTGTGCTCACACACCTTATTAGGGCAAATTGGGAAACTCAGGACTACATAAAAGCAAAGAATCATTTCAAAACTTCATCTTATCACTGTCAGGATGACTTGACTATGATCTGAATGACCAAGAGACATTCTGGGAGAGGTCTTTACTGCTTTGTACAAAATTCAGCAGAAATGAAAACACTGTCTAATACCCTATTATAGTCCAAAGAGATGAAAGACACATTTCTAACGTTCACTTTCAGCAGAGGTAATACGGAACAGCTTGCTCAGAGAGGAGTGTGAGGGCAAGCAGGGAACACAGCATTACTGCAGAAAAGTGTGTTAATAACTTGTCTGGTCTGCTATTGCAAACAGCTACTCAATACTGTGTTGTAAGCGGCCCCAAAAAGGTTATCTTTATAAAGAAAATACTAAAAGAACCAAACAATATGCTGCAACTGTCATCATAAATGTAAAAAATACTGTCCTTTGTGCAGCAGTTTTGATAAAAACGATGCGTAAGTCATTATTATTCTATAAAGAGAAAACCAAACTGTTGGACTATGTCAACAGGTACAGATGTCAAAGACAGGGAGGCAGAACTTGAGGCTGAGGCCCAGAGGCAAGTTGGGCATAACAAGATGAAACCCATGAGAGTGATGGTATTGAACATCCCCAGGGCGCTGAGCAGAGGTGCTGAGCTCTAGCAAGGGCCCCTCCGTGCAGAGAGCCCCAAAGAGTGTCGGCTCTCCGGGCCGGGCACCGCAGTGAGCCGAGGAGCGGGCGGCACCGACCCGCGCGCTGGGAGGCACCGACCCGCGCGCTGGGAACAGCACCGAGCCGCTTCCGTCTCCCGCTCCAATGGGTGTGCGAGCAGCAAAACACTTACAGAAAGCTGCAGCCATTGCAACGAGCCTAGCAGGGTCCCGGCGGGAGCAGGGTTGTCCCACTACAGGTTTGAAGCTCTCTCTTCCTCCAGCTCCTCGGAAGGGTGAATCTCCCACCCACGCGGATCCCGGCTCCTTGCAGCAGCTTCCCAGCTCCGGCGTCCATGGGGCAGCTTCCCAGCTGCTCCGGGGGGAGCCCAGGGTGTCCCCAAGGGAAGGTGCCGCTCCGGCTGCAATCCTCAGGCCGCGGGTTCTCCCCTCATGGCACATAGGGCAGTCATTATAATGACTTCCCAATCTTCTTACCCAAGAGTTGCACCCTGCCCGGCGCTGTGAACTAGCGGCAGGCACAAGGATAAAAGTCTCTCATTCTGTTCTAATTAGCTTTATTTTCTTTGCAAGCCCTACGGACAGACTCGTCACCGTGCCGGTGCTGGCTGAGTCTAGTGCTGACCTGAGGCTGCAGATCTGAGTGGAATTAAGACCTGGAAGGAGGCAAAACAGATTAGGGCTCACGTGGGGAATCCACTGCTGCCCGGGCAAACCTGGAAAGACGGAGGCTCCAAAAGCAGCGGAGTGCAGTGCTCCCTTGCAGCTCCACGGCAGGCTGCATGCTCACACTTGCTTGGTCTTTTCACCGGGTGATTTGGGGAGAAAACTGGAGACTTTGGTAGTCTGTCTGCCAAACAATATGAAACATACCGCAGTGATTCTGGGGCCTCGACTAACTTCATGAAAACTGCTCTGTCCGGGAACGTTTGCCCTTCGTGCCGTAGGAACCGGAGCCGTGCTCAGAGCAGGAGCTGAGACGGTCCCGCCGGACCCAGACCCCACGTGGGCACAGGCGCCACGTTAAGCTGCTCCTGCTGATTTTCTCCTTTGCATCCTCAGCACTTAGGGATCCCAGGGCTTAGCAAGCTAAGAGGTTTTAGGGTATTACACATCCTGCTGCAGTAGCAGCACAAGAGGGAGTCTGCGACAGCGATATTATTCCATGCCGATATGAACCACACTGCAATCGTCTTCCTCTGGATGTACCAGTGTGGGCTGGACGTGAAACAGCCCCCACGGGAAACTGGTCTGGGGCACTTGACATGGGCTTGAATAACGTTTGGGGAAGGGAGCTGCAGGGAACTGTCCAGCCAAGGAGCAGGTGAACACGGCGCCGCGGAGCCGTCCTTCCCGTTCGTAAATGTGTCACTGCTGCAGTGCATGGGAAACCCTTCCTCCTGCCATCCTCTTGCTCTGCTCGGTGTGCCCAGCCAGGGTGACACTTTGCTGGACATGAGGGATGGCTTCATGCGATGTCCCTCCTGTCTTAAGAGGTTGTGCCTTGTGTAATATGAGGTCTTCTGTGCATGGAAGGGGAATGTCTTCTGCCAAAAAGTTGACTCCTGGGGGTTTCAGAGGAGTTATTTTGAATAAACTGTTGTGATGCATGTGCCTGCCATTTGTGATGAGTGTGGCAGTCCTCAGCCATCTCTACTCCAGGATCTGATTCCCAGGAGGGTTTTATACCTGGCTGATTTTCCTGCATGGATTTGCAAGAGGCTTTTGTTTGTTTTCACAGTTGTTCGTAGAGACAATCCTCTGTCTTAGAACGCCGCTGTCTAACCAGCCTTTTCTCTTGTTATTTCCCTTTCTCAGGCCTCTTTTCCAGTACTCTTGTGCAGGTTGCCACATTCTCAAATGTGAAGCCAGAAGAAATGGATGTGATTTATGTTATCGCAAGCACATGGAGCTCTGAAGTCAGAAAGCATTGCAAGCCCCTGCCTAACCCAGCACGCGCTCCCACCAGCAGATTGGGCTTCAGCATGTATTGCATTTGCCCTGGAGAAGGGCAGACACTGCAGGACTGAGATGGATGAGGACTAGAGGCCCAAACACATAAAGAATAATTTGCTACAGTCCTGAACGCCCCTGCAGTGGTTCAGGTGGTTCAAGACCGGATGGGAAGCGAGGGCTGCAGATTTGGATCAGGGCTCACGGGCAGGAGCGGAGGGAGGGGAACGCTGGCCACAGCAAGGCCAGGCCGGTGCCAAAGCGACACGTGTTGGCAGCAGTGCCCGAGGATCCCTGCAGAACCGCTGGCTCCGGTTCCCCCTCCTGCGGGCAGCAAAGTCACCCAAGGTGAAACACAAACGTGGAGCACAGACGCGCTCCTGCTGCTGCGTGCTGCGGCCGGCATGTTACCGGCGTGCCTCATTAGCCTGGGAAGAATTTCCTGATTAGAGAAGATCTAGGAAACTGGGATAGTTTCACTGCTCCTGGTAGGCCTGGGAAGTAGGAGCACCGAGCAAGGAGGACTGGTGTTAGGGACAAAATGAGCAGTGCTGCCCTGCGCAGAGAGCTGCCGCGCGCCAAGGAAAGGGCCGCGATGGCGCCGGCTTCAGCCCGGGACAGCTCCGTCCGCCGGAGCAGCCCGGATCCGCTCGCTGCCCGCGGAACGGCACTGGCACAGGAACGCACGCTGCTGCAAGGCGGCGGGGAGCCCAAACACACAGAGGAAAACCGGGATGCGGAGGCAGTTCTTAGCGAGGAATGGCTGCCTTTCCCTCTGTTTTTAAGTGACTAAATGCTTTAAGACATTGACAGCAAATTTCAGTCCTTGCAAGAAATTAATTATGGAATTCCAGGCTAAATCTATGGATAAGAAACCCTGTACACCTTCTTCTAGACTTCTGCACCTGACAAAAGTTTTAAGTGATTTTTGTTGCATTTAGATTGCAAGAGTTTGATCTGTCAGAGCCAACCTCCTGTTAAGGAATTTTCTGGCCACTTTGTCCCTGAGCAGGGACTAGAAGGCCCCTTTGAGCAGAGCTCAGAGCAGAGCCGGTGCCAGCGCCTGTTCAGTGGCTCCGTGGTACTCACTGCATTTACTTCTGTTAGTGCCAGCTCTGCCTCCATGCCCCAGGAATATGCTATTTTATTTCCAAACTCCATGGGACATGCTGCAGACAAATAAACTAGAGTTTTGCACAGCGCTTGCACTAAAGCCAGTGGCCCAGCCGAGGGCCCCTTTGCACCTTGCCAGGCTTGCAAAGACGTAGCACGTCGTGGCAAACAGCACCGCTCTCGGAGCAGCGTGCAATTTGTGCCTGCTATCAGCAGAGGGGGAAAAGGCTCCTGCCAATGTTCCCTGGCAGGGCAAAGCGCCCTGGGCTCTGCGGAGGCGCTCCGGGATAGCGGTGCCCTGGGAATTCAGGCTGCATTTCTCCCTCTCTCGGCTTCTAGCTCAGTGCATCGCTGGTCAGCAGCTCCCCAGGGAAAAGAGGATCCCTTTCCTGAGGGTAACCTCACAGCCGCTCTGCTTCACCAAGCGAATTATCCCACTCTCGGTGCGGAAGCTTCCTGGGAAGGCTTACCTGTCCTGCCCGGGAGCGAGCCAGCAGACTGCGAGCGAGGCGGCCAGCTGACAAAATCATCACAACAGCCTCGAGGCTTTTGGATCGGTTACCCGATGGCAGCAAGCGGCAGAGTTTCTATGGCAAACCCTGAGACTAAGTATTGACTAGCTTATTAGTACACTCTACATTAACTATTTAATCCCCATTAGTACACTCTACATTAACTATTTAATCCCTACAAGAGGACCCCCCGGCACCGCTGCTTTTACAGGTTTTGACCCATTTCTGCCTAGTTCTAGACGGGGTAAATGCACCCCTGTTTTTTACAGCATCAAGGACGTGCTGGTGCTAGAGCTCGTTGCTCGGCAGTGAGTCAATAACCCCCAGAGCCCCTGCAGAAGCCAGGGGGGTTTTGCTTAAGAAACAATTTCATCCAAGGCAACTTATATGACTTTCTTACAGCTTTCCAAAAGCAACACAGATTGCAGTGCCACACAGAGCCCACATGGGACATTTCAGCCTGCTAGATCACGTCCTGCTTGGAAAGCAGGGGACTTTTCCCCATGTCTTTTCCCTCCCACTCATTGCAATGGCCACCTCGACCACAGCAGTTCCCCACACAGCTCTGGGACTCAGCGAAATGATCTGACCTTAGCTTTCACTTCTGTCATTTTAATTTTCCTTTCCTGTGTGGAAGCAGGAAAAGGGCCTGAAACAAATAGCAAAGCTATGGTGTGAAACGGCTGCAGGGGCTGGAGGCTGTTTCCTAGCTCCATCCAGAGACGCTTCCTCGTGTTTTTGTCCTGCAGCGGCTACATCTGATACTCGTGATGCTCTTTAACTAATTCCCTTTGCCTCTCGTGGAGGCCATTCCCTCCCCAGGGCCACCCGGCCTGTCTCGGCACCCCTCACCTACCACTCACCAGCAGGGCTGAACCGGGATTTTCCCAAATGCTTCCCCAAAGAGAGACACTGTCTTTTAACATTTTATTTTTTAACTTCTTAGACAAACCCCTGCAGCAGGACCCAACCCCGGGGGTTCTAATTCCCTTTGCCTCTCGTGGAGGCCATTCCCTCCCCAGGGCCACCCGGCCTGTCTCGGCACCCCTCACCTACCACTCACCAGCAGGGCTGAACCGGGATTTTCCCAAATGCTTCCCCAAAGAGAGACACTGTCTTTTAACATTTTATTTTTTAACTTCTTAGACAAACCCCTGCAGCAGGACCCAACCCCGGGGGTTCCCCTTTTAGCCGTTTCCCCCCGTGCCTTCTGGTGCATTTGTGCTCCCCAGGACGCGGCTTTAGCGCTGGTCTCCGCGAGGCCACAGCTAAACCCGCCTGTGCGCCAACCCCGCGGCGGGGGGGAGGTCCCTGTTTG